ACAATGCCTGACTTTTTTAAAAAAGGGGTTTGGGGTATTGGGAGTATGGAGGATTGTTTTTGTATCTTTATATGTGTTTTTGTTCTTAAAATGTGTATTTTGGGGCAACCCCTTTCAAAAACAGTGATTTTTGTGCGGTGTGGTGAAATGTTTTAATGATGATGGGAAAATATTTTCTTTTTTTGGGGGTTTTTTTTTCTTTTTTGGGTCACCCTGCCCCCGGTGGGGGAGGGGGACTTGTTAAAAAATATATATATATATATTTTTATATTATATTTATATTATATATATGTATATTATTATATATATATTAAAATTTATTATATATATATATAATTTTATAAATATATTTATATATATATTCAAGACTCTGTAAGGGGAAAGTTCAAGACTCTTAAAACCCAAAACGTCGGCAAAAACTGGAGGTATCAGCCCCAAAACCGTTTTGGTCTAACCCGGTTTAAGCATTCAAGAAATTAGAGAAAGTGCAAAAAGGGTTTTCAACAAGAAATTCCCCGAGCTCAGGGGGTTGTCCCAAAAGAAAAAAGGTTAAAGGGGAAAATTTACCTGATGGGCACTTTTGGGGGACAGGAGGGTCAGGGGGGAAAATGATAATGACAATAAAAAACTGCGTGAATAGAAAAAGGTGGACAAAGGGCAGGGTTTTTTCCAGAGATGGGGAAAAAAACAAAGGGGCCCCAATTGGAAGTTGAAGAAATTCAAAAAATGAGTCAAAGGGGTGTTTTGGGGAAGTTTTTCTTCAGTCAATGAGGTGTCAGGCAGTGGGAAAAGCCTAAAAATGTTTTAGGGGGAGGCAGGAAAACCCTACATAGTTTTTTTAAAATGAGGTTTGATAAAACTCATCAAGAGGGGGGAGAGGGATTTTAAAACCCGTTAGTTTAAAAGGTGGGGCCAGGAGCTGAGTTTTCGACCCCCGCAAACCCCAAATAGGTGAGTAAAAACCCCACAAATTTTTCAAATGAAACAGAAAATCGGCAAAACATATTACACACAAGGGAAACCCCACATAGGCCCCTTTAAAAAAACAGGGTGAAAACCAGCCTTTTTTATTAATGGGCCTCATGTTGGGGAAATAAAAAAGAATCCACCATCAGCAGAAAAAACTATAGTGGAAAATAGGAATTAATGCCATCCGGGAAAGGGAGCTAGAAATTCCCCGAGAGTAGGGCCAAAGGGGTGTAAGGCAAATGAGGCATTAGAAACAGAGGTGAGGGAAAGTGACCCCACATGCAAGACAGATGGCAATGGAAGGCCCTGGGTTATGCAGGCCCAGGCTGGTGCCCGAAACCCCCCAAATGCATATTAGTTGTTTGGGGCTGAGGAAAAAAAGGGACTTAAAAAAGGTATAACAGACCTCCTCAGGGCCCATTAAAAATAATAGGCAGAGTTTGGTGTGACATTCCAATTTCCAGTAAACCCCAAGGGCCCATAAAAAAAAAAAAGGCAAAAATACGTAAATAAAAAAATAAATGCAGAATTTTTTGCAAAAAAAGAAAAAAAACAAAAGAGTAATATTTACAGTACCCATTTACAAATGACTGTAAAATTTACTATTTAAAATTTTATTTACCACTCACTATAAGCTAAGGGTGAAAATACTTTTTAAAGGGAAGTTTTTGGTGTAATGTATGTACATTTTTCTTTGGGCCCAGCTATATTTTCTTTTCTTTTAATTTTAAAAAAGTGTAAACAATTACCCGGCCTTTTTTTTGCATTTGAAAGTGAAAAAAGTTTTGTTTTTACTTTACAGTGATTTTTACTTTACAAAAGTAAATCGGAAAACCCAACCGGGTTTATGAGCGGGGGGTCCCCCTGTATAAGATACAAATGATATAACCAAAATTTTTGATTTTTAAAAAACATTTTTAATAATTAAAAAAGCCAAAAACCCCTAAAGCGATGTAAATATACCCCGTACAGTACTGTACTAGGGAAATGAAGAACTAAATTTCTGAAAATGGGAATAGAATGGGGACACATACAAATGTGGGAAACCGAAAAAAGAGAATCCCAAAAAAAAACACCATTTAAATTTATATTTGGAAGAGGATGACTGGGGGTTTTCCATTCAAAATCCAAAATGCTATGATTAATTTGATTATAAATGTACATAATTCACCCAAATTTTTGAGTTTGTTTGGGTATTGCTTGTATAATTTTTTTTACTTTGGGGGGGTTTGTCCCCCATGTTTCAAGCAAAGGTTTTTTATTTCTTTTCATTAAAAGGGAAAAATTAAAATTTTTGGGAAAATTATTTTTATTCCAAAATTTTTTTTTGTACTAAATGAAATAAGAAAAACCAATTTCCCTTATGAAGATATTTAAAAAATCAATGCTTGAAACAAAATGGTTTCCCCTGTAAAAAGAACAGACAAATAAGAGAAGACTCAGAGACGAGAGAGGTTGGAACTCATTTGGGAACCCCAAACCCCTTTAAAAAAAGGGTTTGGCCCAAAGTGCTAAAAAACTTTACCCCCAGTTTTAAGAAGGGTTTTCATGAGTTTAAATTCCCCCGTTCTGTGAGTTCCCTTTTAAAAACCCCTGTTAAATAAAATTTCACAAGTTAAAAAAGTACAAGATTTCACCTTGTAAGATAGGTAACTTTTTGCCCCATTTACTCATGAAATCGTAGAGGAAATCTTTTTGTGAAGGTAATAAAACAAAAAGTACGAAATTTGGTGGAAAATTGACGAAATTATGCTCTCGCGGAATTTTGATGTGTCAGCGATATTTACGAATCGGCGATTTTGCCGACTTTGACTCCCATTTTAGGCCAATTACATTATTCCAGTCAACCAAATTCTTAGCTATTTCACTAGTATTACTTCTATTCTATCGATTGAGCACAAGAAATCGCCAAGTCAACTGTTTCAACTACAAAATAAAGTGATCGGAAATTGTTAATTTGGCCAATTTAACACAAAGTTCAAAATATTCCAATTTCAAAATAGGGTCCAGAATGAACATGTAGGCATTCCTGGCACTAAACTAACATTTCCTCTGTTCATTAGTTATGTTTTGAGGCTTTACAAATAAATTCCATTTTGATTTTTTATTCACATAATGAATTTTTATTCACACCAAAAAAATAGAAGATTTACTGTTATGCAATACTGTAATAACTGTATAAATATCATCACCATATATGTGAATGTATATTAGACCCACCAGCTGATGTGTATTAGACGTGTGAGGTCGTTTGTTTACTCTTGAATATCGGCAAAAATTTAACATTTCTGCTACTTTGAGCTCAGTTTCAAGCCATTTCCAGTGCTAAAACCAATCAAAATCATCTCTATTTCTGTAATATGTCTTCCATTCTATCAAATGAGACCAAGAAATCGCAAATACAACTATAAAAAACATACGAAAAAACACTGCAAAGTTGCTGTTTTAATCGAAAAATCATGATTTCATTTTTTTTCTCTCATTATACACAGTGTGCTGCAGGATCTGTTTTATGTGGTGCACACATACCACATAGATGTATTCTCTCATATCTAGGCCCAAATGTACCACTCACAGTTTATCAGAGTGAGCTGAGCTCATGGCGTAGATCTACGGTTTGGACCCTGAACGTAAAGCCGTAGATCTACGGGACGGACCCTGAAAGGGTTAATAACTCCACACCTTCTCCTAATTTCTACATAATATTTTCTGCATAATATTTACACCACACATTGCCCTTAGACAGGACATCTCCACTCCCTCCAACCGCCTCCTCACTGCAGCATTTACAACCCGAGCTTCACACCCATATAAGAGTGTTGGTACTGCTATACTTTCATACATTCCCTTCTTTGCCTCCATAGATAACGTTTTTTGTCTCCACATATACCTCAACGCACCACTCGCCTTAAACCTCATCCTTCGTAAATCCATCTGCTGACACGTCAACTCCCAAATATCTGAAAACATTCACTTCTTCCATACTCCTCCTCCCCAGTTTGATATCCAATTTTTCTTTATCTAAATCATTTGATACCCTCATCACCTTACTCTTTTCTACATTCACTTTCAACTTTCTACCTTTACACACATTTCCAAACTTATCCACTAACCTTTGCAAATTTTCTTTAGAATCTCCCTTAAGCACAGTATCATCGGCAAAAACTAACTGTGTCAATTCCCATTTTGTATTTGATTCCCCATAGTTTAATCCCGCCCCTCTCCCAAACAATCTAGCATTTATTTCTTTTACAACCCCATCTATAAATATATTTAACAACCATGGTCATATTACACATCCGTCTAAGACCTACTTTTACCAAGAAGTAGTCCCTCTCTTCTACACACCCTAATCTGAGCCTCACTATCCTCATAAAAACTCTTTCCAGCATTTAGTAACTTACCACCTTCTATTATTATCTTTTAATACCATTACATACACAAGCCTGGAGGAAAATATGCTTTAGAGTCATTGTACTCTATTTGGTTACAGCCTCTCTTCACTTAACAACAGAGTTCAATTCCTAATACTACATTGATAAAGTGAATTAATCACTAAATGAGGAGCACACTATAATGATAGTGGGTTTATGTCAGCCATCTTTGATATTGCTTTAATGTCACCCTTGCACCATTTATAACACTTTTGGTATATTTTTAAATGTATATACAGTACTGTACTGTATATTGTAATAAACAGAACAGAGGAAATCAGCACTAATATACATTATTTAGACATGCATACTAGCCAGAGATCCTGTTGTAAGTCCGAGTCATCGGTAAACAAGTAAGTCGCTAAGTGAGGAGAGGCTGTATATGACTAACAATTCTCAAATGAGTGAAATTATTTACAAACATCATCTCTCAGTCCACAGCAGGATTCAAACATACATGCTCTACATCTACATACTTTGATGCAGAGTTTGTAGGTTCAAATCCTGCTGTGGACTGAGAGATAATATTTGTAAATGTGTTATATATCAAACAACATTGATACATTAAATACTCAGTAACAGTCAAGTTCAACTCACCTGAGCAATACAGCCAGAACCAATGGGATTACAATCATTATCAAATTTAACAAAAATCTTTCTCCAGTTGGGGCCAAAAGCTTTTTTCATTTGGGTCACCGTGTATTTCCATGAATGAGGTTTGACACGTCTTTGAAGGCGTGAAAATTGGGAACAGCAAGAGTCAGGAAAAATGTCCCTCCTTGTAGATGCCCACTGGCCCAGCTTAAGGAGGATAGGACCAGACATTTCTATGGCTGAAAGTTCAATAGAAAAATAAGATATACGTAACACAAACCACGTGGAGATAAAAAGAGACACAGGGTGAAGTGAAAGGTGTAAATTCTGGCTTGGAACTGAGGCCCCTTTCTGCAAGAAAGATTTAAAAAAAAAAATGCCTAAACCTCTCTCTCTCTCTTAATAAGACACTTCTTGAGAGCTAAATATGTTTGTACATAATGAGTACATGGGGTGGTTGAGGAAGTTTTGATATGCAAGGGGAAAAGCCAGAAATTGGGATAATAGTACAGTATTCAGATTCCGAGACTGTTACAGGGAGGTCACCACCTGCACTGCCATCTAGTGGGCTCCTGCAAAACACCAGATTTCTTTAAGGTCTGAGGTTTTTAGTTTCTAATCCTAGTAGTATTAACCTTACCTGGTTTGGTTTAGAGTTGGGGTAATCACTTCACCTCCACTCTTCTCCTGATCAGGTAAGGTGATCTACCATGAACAGTGTTTAAAGTTTTGTGTTTAACCTGGTTACCAATAATGACACTGAAGTGCACTTACCATCTTTGACTTAATTTAACCCTTTCAGGGTCAAGACCCTCGATCCTTAACTCCCACTCAGGGTCAAAAAATATTCGAAAAAAAAATTATTTTTTCTTATGAAATGATACAGCATATTTTTGAGTGTTATAGGCAAAAAAAAATTTTTTTTTTTTGGTTATAATTGAAAGAATTAGAGGTAAGACAGAATGTAGGATTGCGGATGAGCAAGGAGGTTTCAGAGTGGGTAGGGGATGTGTAGATCAAGTGTTTACATTGAAGCATATATGTGAACAGTATTTAGATAAAGGTAGGGAAGTTTTTATTGCATTTATGGATTTAGAAAAGGCATATGATAGAGTGGATAGAGGAGCAATGTGGCAGATGTTGCAAGTATATGGAATAGGTGGTAAGTTATTAAATGCTGTAAAGAGTTTTTATGAGGATAGTGAGGCTCAGGTTAGGGTGTGTAGAAGAGAGGGAGACTACTTCCCGGTAAAAGTAGGTCTTAGACAAGGATGTGTAATGTCACAATGGTTGTTTAATATATTTATAGAGGGGGTTGTAAAGGAAGTAAATGCTAGGGTGTTTCGGAGAGGGTGGGATTAAATTTTGGGAATCAAATTCAAAATGGGAATTGACACAGTTACTTTTTGCTGATGATACTGTGCTTATGGGAGATTCTAAAGAAAAATTGCAAAGGTTAGTGGATGAGTTTGGGAATGTGTGTAAAGGTAGAAAGTTGAAAGTGAACATAGAAAAGAGTAAGGTGATGAGGGTATCAAATGATTTAGATAAAGAAAAATTGGATATCAAATTGGGGAGGAGGAGTATGGAAGAAGTGATTGTTTTCAAATACTTGGGAGTTGACGTGTCGGCGGATGGATTTATGAAGGATGAGGTTAATCATAGAACTGATGAGGGAAAAAAGGTGAGTGGTGCGTTGAGGTATATGTGGAGTCAAAAATTGTTATCTATTGAGGCAAAGAAGGGAATGTATGAAAGTATAGTAGTACCAACACTCTTATATGGATGTGAAGCTTGGGTGGTAAATGCAGCAGTGAGGAGACGGTTGGAGGCAGTGGAGATGTTCTGTTTAAGGGCAATGTGTGGTGTAAATATTATGCAGAAAATTCGGAGTGTGGAAATTAGGAAAAGGTGTGGAGATAATAAAAGTATTAGTCAGAGGGCAGAAGAGGGGTTGTTGAGGTGGTTTGGTCATTTAGAGAGAATGTATCAAAGTAGAATGACATGGAAAGCATATAAATCTATAGGGGAAGGAAGGCGGGGTAGGGGTCGTCCTCGAAAGGGTTGGAGAGAGGGGGTAAAGGAGGTTTTGTGGGCAAGGGGCTTGGACTTCCAGCAAGCGTGCATGAGCATGTTAGATAGGAGTGAATGGAGACGAAGGGTACTTGGGACCTGACGATCTGTTGGAGTGTGAGCAGGGTAATATTTAGTGAAGGGATTCAGGGAAACCGGTTATTTTCATATAGTCGGACTTGAGTCCTGGAAATGGGAAGTACAATGCCTGCACTTTAAAGGAGGGGTTTGGGATATTGGCAGTATGGAGGGATATGTTGTGTGTATCTTTAATGTGTAGCTTCAAAACTGTGTATTCTGGCACCCTGCAAAAACAGTGATAATGGCGAGTTGGGGAAAGTGTTGAATGATGATAAAAAGTATTTTTTTTTTGGGGTTTTTTCTTCTTTTTGGGTCCCCCCTGCCTCGGTGGGAAAACCCCCGACTTTTTTGAAAAAAAAAAAAAAAAAAAAATATATATAAAATATATATAATATATATATATATATATATATATTATATGTTATGTATATATAATATATATATATTATATTTAAATATATAAATATATATATATATAATATATAATATTCAAATCTGAAAAGGAATCGTTCAAGACTTGTACCCCAATACGCAGGCAATACTGATAGCAGCACCGTTTGGAATCCACCTGGTAAAGCGTCAAAAAATTAGAGAAAGTGCAAACTTGCAACAAGACTACCCCCAGAGTCAGGGGATTGCCTCAAGAAAGGTTAAGGGAAATTGACCTGATGACAGGAGGAAGGGGGGTCAGGGGAGACATGAAATGACATATAAAAAACTGCGTGAATAGAAAAGGTGGACAAAGACGGGATTTTCCCAGGGGGACCAGAAACAAGGGGGTCAAAATTTGGGAAATTGAGACTCGATGAGTAAAAGGGATTTTTGGGGAAGTTTTTCTTCAGTCCTAGGTTAGGCATGGAAAATAGTAGAAAATGATGTAGTGGAGGCAGGAACCATACATATTTTAAGAAGGTTTGAAAAAAGCTCTCAAGCAGGGGAGAGAGGCCCTAATATTTTCAGTGAAAAGGTGGGGCCGGAGCTGAGTCTCACCCCTGCAACCAAAAATGGGTAGTAACACACAAATTACAACTAAAACAGAAATGGGCATACATATTACACACAAGGAACCCCAAAACATGAGGCCCTTAAAAACGGGTGAAAAACCAGCCGTTTATTAATGGGCCTCAGTGGAGAACAAAGCAAAGAATCCAAGCCCAAAAAATACTATGGGGAAAAAGTAGGAATGAATGCCCACCCGGGAAAGGCAGCTAGAAGTCCTGGGGTAGCCAAGTGTTTAAGCAAGTGGGTTTGGGCAGGGGTGAGGAATGTGCCCACACATGAAAGACGATGGCAACGGAATGCCAGGGTTTATGCAGGCCAGACTGGTGCCTGACCCCCCCAAATGCGTATTAGTTGTTTGACTGAAAAAAAAAGGGGGACTTAACAAAGGGATAAAAGACCCTCCCCTATTAAAGTAATGGCAAGATAGGTGTGACATTCCAATGCCAGTACCCCAAGGTCCTATAATATAAAAAGGCAAACTACTGTACTACAATAAATGCAAGATATTTTTGCAAGAAAGAAAAAATCAGAAGAGTAATATATACAGTACCGATTTACGAAATGACTGTAAAATCACTACTTATAAATATATTCACCACTCACTATAAGCTAAGGATGAAAATACTTTAAGGCAAGTTATGTGTGTACTGTATGTACATTTTTCTAGGCCTAGCTATATTGCTTACTTAATATATGATAGTGTAAACATATTACCAGGCTTTTATATGCATTTGAAAGTGAAAAAAAGTTATGTTTCACTTTACAGTGATTTTCACTTTACAACAGTAGCTCGGAACCTAACCTGCTGTATGAGCGGGGCTCTCCTGTATAAGATACAAATGATATAACAAATTATGATTTTAAATACTTGTTAATAATTAAAAAGCAAACCTTAAAGTGATGTAAATATACCCAGTTTCAGTACGTACTAGGGAAAATGAAAAACAATGCTGAAAATATAATAGTAATGTGGACACATACAAATGTGAATCCGAAAAATGTGAATCCCAAAAATAACACCATTTAATTGATATTCTGGAAGAGTATGACTGGGGTTCTCCATTCAAAATCACTGCTAGCTGATTAATAGATTATACTGTACATAATTCACCAATTTATGAGTAGTTTGATATCTGCTTGTATAATTTTATATACTGGGCTGGTCGTCCTCCATGTTTCAAGCAAGAGTTTCATTTCTTTTCATTAAGGAAAATTATTTTGGAAACTTATTCATATTCCAATTTTTTTATGTACGTAAATGAAATAAGAAAAAGCCATATTTCCATTATGAAGATATTTAAAAAATCAGATGCTTGAAACAAGATGGTGCACTGTAAATGATACAGACAAATGAAGAGAAGACTCAGAGACTGAGAGAGGTTGGAACTCATGGCAAGCCAATCCTAAAACTGGTTGGCCAATGTGCTAACTACTGACCTGCCAGTTTTAAGAAGGCTTTTCATGAGTTCAAATTCCACTCGTTCTGTGAGTTACTTAAAACCATGTTACTATGATTTCACAAGTCAAATGTACAAGATACACCTGTGTAATGATAGGTAACTTTATGACTCATGACTCATGAAATCGTAATAACATGATTGCAAACAAACCATACCTGCCTGTGGTATGGTTTGATAAGTAATTTTATTAAGGAAACACTGCACGAGGCTCATTTGGTTAAAAAAAAAGGTACATGAAAGAATGAAATATTATTAATAAAAAAGAGAATGATTTTTTTTTTTGTTTTGACAATACAGTACTAACATTAAGTGAAAATTTACAGAACTTAACATAATCTTACCTGCTAACAGCAGCTTCCACCAGACATCAGTAGCAGTTTTGCCTAGGTATGTAAGAGGGTAGAGGGCTAAAACTGGGCCAAAAGTCATGACAAGACGAAATGTTCTAAGAATAAGGGACAGAACCTCATACACACTTAACAGCATCTTCAACCACTTTCCAATTTTCTTTCTCTCTTTCTTCTTGGGAAACTCAACATTAACAGTTTTCTCTTCTTGTGGTTTACTAAATATTTGTAAAGGACCAAAAAACAATGATCCAAAAATAACTTTTTCTATTCTTATGCACTTGTACAACTTAATTTTAGGTTTAGAAGTTCTCTGAATGACATTAACAACTTTACTGTACAGTTCTTTCTTTGTATTTTGATAAGAACTCTTTAAATGAGAAAGTATTTTAACACTAATTTCCTTATAACTTCTCACAACTTGCATATCTGCTCCTTTCTTCATTGGTACCCATGATGCAAGATTTCCTTCAAATGGAGAATGAAGATGGTGATAATATACAAATTTTGAAGATGTTGATAATATACTGCATGATGGATGAGCCAGGGTGGGGCTTTGTATAATATTTCCACACACAATAAGTGAACCTTGCAAGTTTACTGTTGCTGGCTGAGGTAAATGCACATTCTTCAGGCCAGTGAGTAAGACACTCCTTAACACACTTTGAACTGCCATAGCTGAGATTTATTCTGAAAGTAAAAATTACAGTTATAATGCTCAATTGCAAAATAGATAGTGAGGAGGTTTTAACGGCTACAGCACAGTATTTCCTGTTAGTTATTAATCATCACACAAGACACAAATGATATCCCCAGCAATTAATATATACATGTATAGAGGTCCTGAAGAAAACAAATTAAGTACCATAATCAGTCAGTAAGGACATGGTTATCAAATAAGTACTGTGCAGATCAATTTAAGCAAAATAAGTCCCCAAACCCTGACGAACTGTCAAGGGTATTTAAAGAGTGCAAGACAGAATTTAATGAAACCCTAACTAGCCTTTTCAATGCAACACTGAAAATGGAAGGTTAATGTAACCCCTATCTTCAAATCAGGAGACAAGTCCACACCGGTAAATTGCCACTCAATAAGTCTTACCTCAACAAGTAGCAAGCAAATCATTTGAATGTATAATCGCCAAAATAATAATAAACCATGTTAATGAACATAATTCAATTAAAAATTCTCAAAATGGACTCACAAGGGAACATATTTGCTTTACAGATTTACTGACTTTCTACAGTAAAGCATTTGAAGCAGTGGACCATAATAAAGAATATGCTGTTGTTGAGTTGGATTTCATTAAGGTTTTTGATAGGTCTCACACAAAAGACTGTTAAAGAAAGTGGCAGGCAATTGTATTTTGACAGGAATACCTTCATTTCCTCAAATCATGATCCAATCACTGGCAACAATGCACCTCCCATGAATGAAGACAGGGAGGAAGGGAGGGTAGGAAGAAGCGAAAATGACATGGATAGAGTGTTGGCATGGCTGACTAATAGGAAGCAGAGTTTGCATAAATGAGGTAAAATCAGAATTCAATGTGGAAAAATGTCAAGTCTTAATCCTTATGAATGAAAAGAGCCCTCATACTTATAAATTAGGTTATGTTAAGCTTAACTATATACAAAATGAAAAAGATATGGGAGTCATGATAAACAGCAATCTGAAGTCAAGATAGCAGTCCCTAAGGATGAGAACTAAGGATAACAGGCTGTTGTATTTGGGTTTATATAAAGGACTATAATAACAGGAGTCAAAAGGTTATTCTTCATCTCTACACATTATCAGTAAGGCCTCAAATAGATTATGCAGTTCAGTTCCGGTCTCCATACTACAAAATAGATCAAAATAGATGTAAACATTCTCCATGGGGAAGTGGAACAGAATTCTTCCTCCGTAAACCATGCATGTCGTAAGAGGCAACTAAAATGCCAGGAGCAAGGGGCTAGTAACCCCTTCTCCTGTATATATTACTAAATGTAAAAGGAGAGACTTTTGTTTTTCCTTTTGGGCCACCCCGCCTCGGTGGGATACAGCCGGTTTGTTGAAAGAATTAGAAAGATATAAACATACAGAGAAGGATGACAAAACTAATCCATTGTACAGTGGACCCCCACCATACGAATGCATCGCATTACGTTAAATCCACCATACGAAGCATTTGAACGCAAAAATTTTGCCTCTCCTCTACGCATCTACGCATACATTCGGTACATTTCACATTATACTAGTGTTTTTAGTGCTTGTAACTGCAAAATAAGTCACCATGGACCCCAAGAAAGCTTCTAGTGCCATCCCTGTGGTAAAAAGGGCAAGAATTAGTATGAAATTGAAAAAAAATGATTAAGGAAATGTGTGCATAGTGGGTTGAACTGCAAACCTTTATGGATGAAAATCACCCTGACACAGCTACTGCAAGCCATGCTTGCAACCTGTACAATGACAATGTTATGGCCCATTTTAGGAAAGTCTTAAAGGAACGGGAGGTACAGAGCTCTATGGACAGATTTGTTGTGCGACAGAGGTCCAGTGACTCTCAAGCTGGTCCTAGTGGCATTAAAAGAAGAAGGGAAGTAACCCCGGAAAAGGACTTGCTACCTCAAGTCCTAAGGGAAGGGGATTCCCCCTCTAAACAATAGCTTCCACACTCCCCTCCTCCCATCCCATCAATCATCACCAGATCTTCAATAAAGGTAAGTGTCATGTATTCTATTCTTAGTAGAGTAGTAATTGTGCATGTCTTCTACAGATTGTGTGTATTAAAATTAAAATTTCATGTGGTAAAAAATCTTTTTTTTTGAAGAATTGAGACACTTATGCAACACATGGGAATCTTTATTGAAGAAACGTTTCGCCACACAGTGGCTTCATCAGTCCAATACAAAGTAGAAATGGGTAAGGAGAGTAGAAGTTTGAGGTAATCAGTCCCTCAACCTGGAATCAATGTGTTCAGTCCATCACTCTTGTAGGAAGTGCAGCATAGGGCCAGAGAGGTGGCTTATATACTGCGGTGAGATGAGTTGAAGCAGGAGGAGGCGGGATCACAGTGGGACCTGCCACTAGTGTAAGTAGGTCATCGTCCAAAGGTTGGGCAAGCGTTGAAGTCTTTGTACCAAGATCCCATGTTGCATAAGTGTCTCAATTCTTCAACTTGTTGGTTTTCAAAACCATTTATCACATCTGTCAGACACTGCAACATCACATTTTTATTGTTTCATAATTTATGTTTTTTTTTTAGGTCTGGATCTAGAGTGGCAAAATTAGTGTATCTTATGCTTTGTTAACCCTTTGAAGGTCCATGCCATAGATCTACAGCTTTACGTTCAGGGTCCAAACCGTAGATCTACGTCATGAACTCAGCTCTGATGAGCTGTGAGCGGTAAATTTTGGCCTAGATATGAAAGAATACATCTATGTGGTATGTGTGTGCACCACATAAAACAAATCCTGCAGCACATAGTACACAATGAGAGAAAAAACCGAAACTGTAATTTTCGATTAAAACAGCGGCTTTGCAGTGTTTTTCATATGTTTTTTATAGTTGTATTTACAATTTCTTGGTCTCATTTGATAGAATGGAAGATATATTAGAGAAATAGAGATGATTTTGATTGTTTTTTAGTACTGGAAATGGCTTGAAACTGAGCTCAAAGTAGCGGAAATGTTAAATTTTTGCCTATGTTCAAGAGTAAACAAATGACCTCACACGTCTAATACACGCCTGCTGGTGGGTCGAATATACGTTCACAAATGTGGTGATATTATTTATACAATTATTACAATATTGCATAACAGTAAATCTTCTATTTTTTGGTTTGAATAAAAATTCATTATGTGAATAAAAAAATCAAAATGGAATTCATTAGTAAAACCTGAAAACATAACTAATGAATAGGGGAAATGTTAGTTTAGTGCCAGGAATGCCTGCATTGTTTATTCTGGACCCTATTTTGAAATTGGAGTATTTTGAACTTTGCATTAAATTGGCCAAATTACCAATTTCCGACCACTTTATTTTGTAGTTGAAACAGTTGACTTGGCAAATTCTTGTGATCAATCGATAGAATAGAAGTAATACTAGTGAAATAGCTAAGAATTTGGTCAACTGGAATAATGTAATTGGCCTAAAATGGGAGTCAAAGTCGGCAAAATTGCCGATACGTAAATATCGTTGACACATCAAAATTCGCAAGAGCATAATTTTGTCAATTTTCCATCAAATTTCATACTTTTTGTTTCATTACCTTCAGAAAAAGATTCTCTACCATTTCATAAGAAAAAATAACAAAATTATTTTTTGAAAATTCTTGGACACTGGTGCACACTTTGAAATTTGACCTCTGGACCCTGAAAGGGTTAAATACAGTGTGATTACAGGTACTTACCCAGAATGTACAGTATTACTTTCTCAGATATTTTTGCTACTATTGGAAGATTAGAAATAGATAGATCTACATATTGGTCTGTAATAAATGTCAGTGATCACATCAATATTGCCAAGTTGTTGATTTATCAGAAGTCTCTGATATTTTTTTTTTTTTTTATTATCACACTGGCCGATTCCCACCAAGGCAGGGTGGCCCGAAAAAGAAAAACTTTCACCATCATTCACTCCATCACTGTCTTGCCAGAAGGGTGCTTTACACTACAGTTTTTAAACTGCAACATTAACACCCCTCCTTCAGAGTGCAGGCACTGTACTTCCCATCTTCAGGACTCAAGTCCGGCCTGCCGGTTTCCCTGAATCCCTTCATAAATGTTACTTTGCTCACACTCCAACAGCACGTCAAGTATTAAAAACCATTTGTCTCCATTCACTCCTATCAAACACGCTCACGCATGCCTGCTGGAAGTCCAAGCCCCTCGCACACAAAACCTCCTTTACCCCCTCCCTCCAACCCTTCCTAGGCCGACCCCTACCCCGCCTTCCTTCCACTACAGACTGATACACTCTTGAAGTCATTCTGTTTCGCTCCATTCTCTCTACATGTCCGAACCACCTCAACAACCCTTCCTCAGCCCTCTGGACAACAGTTTTGGTAATCCCGCACCTCCTCCTAACTTCCAAACTACGAATTCTCTGCATTATATTCACACCACACATTGCCCTCAGACATGACAATGTGTGGTGTGAATATAATGCAGAGAATTCGTAGTTTGGAAGTTAGGAGGAGGTGCGGGATTACCAAAACTGTTGTCCAGAGGGCTGAGGAAGGCAAGCAATAACCTAGCCTAACCAAACCTGAGCTAAACCTAAATCACAGATGGATAACTAATGGTCATATTTTAACACATCACTGAACTTGCTACCTGGATAACTTCCTGAAGTCAGTAATCCAGGACCCTTCTGTCATTACCAGGATCAGTTTAATTGCCTCCTTTGTGGATACTATTATCATGGCTCTTCTGATTCTGGAAAGATTTGATTTTCAAGTGATTTCTTGAAAAGTACTGCAATGGATGGAGACAATATTTTTGCAGCTTTTTCGTAGATATGGTGAGTATTTAGGCTGGATTACTTGATACATTTTAAGTAATTTTATTACTAAGCATATTTCGGAGGTTGTGGTAAGATTTAGAAATTATTATATTATGAGAAACAGCTAAACCTGTAGGGATTATACAACAAATGGTAACAATTTCAGCTTGCACAGTGAGGAAATGGGATTTGATCCCCAG